GACGACGTTCTATCAACTGTAATGACAATGCACATGCACATTTAGCTGATTCAACTAAACTGAAAGTATCGACAGTTGAAAGTCGGTGATGTTCGGTGAACAGTTGAGCTGCGTAGTTGTCGCCGAAGTATCCGACTGTGAATAGGTGCACTCAGTCACATCACTGGTAACATTGACCGAAGACTGAAATCGAATTCCGATTCTACATGGATGAAACAGTCCGTCTATTTATATCGCTCTCGCTGAAATACAATTAGATCATTATTTCACTCGGTGCAGGATACATAAAGAGTACACTGTCATACGATACATACGCGCAAATTCAAATCAACACGTAGTCTGTAAAAATTCGAGAAAGCTGTGTGTAGAATTTCAAGTTAAGTAAGACTGAACTACTCATTCCTTTCCTTACCGCCATCAAAACGACACAGTTACCCACACTGCGTATGTAATTGGTCGAACATTGATCACATATCATTGTTACGTTTCCCTGAGCGGCCACAGGGTTGTTCACATTTACTCCTGTATAAGGTATTCTTATTCTTATTTCACCAGAAATTGACTTCAGTCAGTCAAGTTATTCTCCGTAAATTTATTCAGCAGCTCACTCACTAATGGCGACCATTCTAAATGCTTAGTGTGTTTTTTGCGTACCTGAGACAAGCCTGAAAGAGATCCACCATCCCATTTCACTCTGGTTTGATGCAGTCCCTCGCAAATAAGGCCAAATGCATGATGTCTTCTTCACTTTCAACACAGTGGAATACAAATTGTATCCCTCTAATCTGAGGGGACCACTAACAAACAGACGATCAAGGCTTCAATGAATGTCTCACAGAAATGTAGCCAATTGTGTGACATCAGGTGTCGTATTATTGTTGAAATTAATTAGACTCAATACGACCGGTTGACTTTGCTATTGTGAATAATGACAGAACCAACAGAAACGCAGGATATTATGAGCTCGTTTTGTTCTTCATGCATTCTCTTCAGATTCTGCGTAGATCGTAGACAAATTCCCGTGTATGCCACAACCATTCTGAGCTAGATTTTCACAATGACTTCGAGTTATACATGGAAAATATAGGCAACATCATTTCAAAGAGAATGTCAGTAGACCATCAGTCTGTGTAACAGAAGTGACTATTTTTATAAATATGAGATGTACTATGAGGTTGAGTGAGGATAATGCGTGGAAACAAGGATGGACTGGGCACATAATACAAGATAGAACAACACAGTGAATTCATACATATTACGATGAGGAGTTCAGGAGGCTTCCTACGAATAGTAAATTAATATCATGAGAAAGACAAAGCAATTCAGTGGATTAGCAAACATAATTGTCAGTCAAACTGAGTGAGTGAGAATCAAAATCAGAATTAAGTGGAATTCTCTGCAACACAACAAACCACAGGAGGACACGAACACAACAGTCACGGTTGGCAGGTGAATGAGAGATTAGATGTATCATTCATTGAAAAATTATTACACACAAACTAGCTGACAACTCCACCAACACACAGGAGGGAGTAACTCTCAGCTAACTAATCGGTGAAGTGTTACTCATGATAGAATCAGATAACGCCAGTTGGAAGTAATCGCAGATAGTTTATCTGCACACATACGAATTAACATGAAGGGTAGACACAGATGCCTTCTGACTTTGATATTCTATTTAGCCATATGGAATAGGCAGGGGAAATAATCCTTCTAAACTATGCAAGACACAGCAGTTTCAAGCTTCACCTCCGAGCACAAAGTCATCTCCTCTTTCGATTCATGTGAATTGAAACAGAACTATGGAGAAATACAAAATCTCCTCACACCAAACTTGCACTTTCACATCACTCCATATGCACATATTGCATTGTTCTTACCCTCAACGTCTCTACTTCAATTTTCTCAATCTTCAGCTGAACTCCATTATTTTACTCAGATGACTCTATTCACCATTGTTAAATCGCATCACTCACTTTCGACAATTCAAGATCACATGATTCGCCCAAACATTTGCTAACTGCATTTCGGCTTTCAGACTGTTATGTATAAACGCAGAATATTACATCTGTTGCAGGATCTGACCACGTGGATTACGATGAAATCTCAATGACTATCGGAGTGCTGTTGTTTTGAAGACTTTGGCATATTTTATGATCCACGACTGATAAATGTGGAATGGAATGATTCAGGATCAACAACTACTCATCTGTTATGATGTCACCGCATTCATCTTTAGCAATAACCCTGAGACTAGAATAGGGTTACTGAGCCGATAATATTCGCGGTTATTACAGCATATCACTAAGCTTCTCGATCACTGCATATAGGAGGTACCAGTTTCCTCAGATCACACTACTTATGCTAGAACACACAAAGTCCTGAGTTGTAACGTGTATTTCTCAATATCCACTCTATAAATATATATAAGGCTGTTGGAGTCGGCATGAGAGATTTCCACTAAACGATGTATCCAGTACGAGTGGTGTAGGCGTGCCAGAAAGTGAACATCAAACGATGCATAACCACTGATGGTTTATTTCTAGACTGACCTCAGCCATCGTAGAACGATCAAGGGATAACCCATAGTTTATTTGCCTACATATCATCTGCTCATTTAGAAAAGACTTATTAACTAGGGTTACCATGGATCCTCACTATGTACATTCTTCACATGGCCGACTGATTTCGCGGAAGTCGTCAAGTGTTTACTGGAGAGTCTGCAGCTCTTGTGGCCACTTGTACATCAAAGTGTGAGAAACTGTGCTTTGCTTGAGAAGATGTTTCTGTTAGAAACAGCAGAATTACGGTTGAAATTGTGTTAGTGAAGAACACGGAGCAGCCCTCTTTGATCGTAAAATTGGAGTACTGCCATCTTGACTTAAAGAGTTTTGAAATGCAAACAGCAACTACCTTTTAATGAGCATACACTGTTTAGGAAGGAAGTCTGTTGGCTAGAACCAAATTCGTGTTCAACATAGTGTCAGTCTTCGCACCCGTGCAGCACACGCGCACAAGATTTGACGAAACGCCAAGCATAAGAATGCCAATAGGATGACGGAAGTGTTATATTGCAGCATTGAGTGGTATTGTTTGAGTAACTCACATAATGGACGTTTGAGGTGGGACTAGGATGTGTAACATTGTTAAATATGTTTCGGAAGATCTGGTGGACCACACTGGCTTTTAGGAAAATTTGTCCAAAGTCGGGGAAATCGAAAATCCCTGTTGCAGAATGTTGAGTTGAAAGGAGAACGCTGAGCTATGCGACGACAACAAGAGTAACCAACCATATCACACCTGATACAGCTTCGATTTGTGGTGGATGCACTGCTAAACCACGTCTAAGCACTTCCGAACCCGATGGAGAGGAGGAAGATTGGCAGTTTGGCTAGCAACCCACCCTCAGACCTAATAAAAACGAAATTATCACTAGGAAGACTTGATAGGTCAGTCTGGAAGAACTGTGTTCCAGGCGGAAGTCAAAGGAGAGAAACAAAATCAGTGAGTGAGTGAGTGATATATTCGTTTCAGATCATGAAAGTGATTAGCATGAAGTAGTTTTAAAGCCGCTGATGTAAACATCATTAAAGACAAAAGATGTCGTCATCAAGGAGTCACTTTCCACCTCTGTGATCATAGGTTTTTTTATTACAGCTTGATTCCACACTGTATTTTCGGCAAAAGTATATTATTTTCAGCATGTGATATCGGTAGCCCGAATTTTGCAGACCGACCATAGATATCAAGTGTGCGTCGGCAGAGGATCGAACCTCGGACCACCTGCATGGCCAGCGAGAGTCCTAACCACTGAGCCACCGTCCACCATCCAGTTTTGCAGTACAGTTGGAAATTTCACAGTTATATTCAACAGATATATTGTGCAGGTGAATAATCTGGAATCAGAAGACTAACTCGCAGATGTCAGTTGAAATGTGGTGAAAGCTGTCTGCTAGCCGAAATCGGCAGACAGAAATTTCCGTCAGTCTTTACGTCCAAAATCTTCGTCATGAGAAAAAGAACAAGAACAAAGACTAACTCAACAGTCAATCACAGCGTGGGCGGATACGATTCTCAGGTATATCAACAGACTGTCTATGAAACGCCAACAAAAAGATGATAAAATAACAAATCAGGAGAAGCTGTTACTCTGGTAAAAATAACGAATAATAATTTACATAAAAATCTATGAATATCTGTTGATTATCTCTTGCCTAGCCCTTGTCTTCTGTCCCTACAAAAAGACACCCAAAGCATAGTAATGTGTATTGTACTCAGTATACAATTGGTGGATGGTGGCTAGCAGTGGAATCCAGGATAAAGCGCATTTCGTCCTATTTGGGACTCGTCAGCTGGATGTACCTGCATTTCTCAGTGAGTGATGATGTTCCCACCGAGGCTCGAACCCAGTACCCATAGTTTCGAACGCCAAAGCGTTATCCACTAGACCACTTGGGCCACGACAGCCACTTCTTGTGCAATGGGTCATATTAATTATTGAATTGAATTTTTGATTTTCCCGTCGATTGATTCAATCGACGGGAAAATCAAAAATTCAATTCAATGTATTGTACTCATATTGAAATAAAACGCATTTTATTCACAGTTAAAATTGATGCTTACTGAAATATATTCAACAAACGCTATTCCCCCTTATTTGTTTGCTTTCATAGGAGAAAGTTGTCTTCATAGTCACACGTGTGGAATACGTCAATCTGTATCATACAATGAGTTTAGACCAAGTGTACCATAATTCAGTATCCAGAATAGGGGTTTACAGAAAAAGTTCAAGGCAGAAGACGACGAGACGAACAGATCACATTCTGATTCGAACTGTGCCCATCAGCCGGAATAGTTATCTACACATCGCTAAACTTGTATTGGTTCCATATGGTTATGCAAGTCCCTTGTATGTTGAGTCGAATCCAACTGGAGAAATATTTGTCGACGAATTCAGAAACTTTATCCTTGAAAGCTACCAGTTAACTGACGAGGTGAGCAGATGTCAAAGAACACCCCTGAACCAATCATCACATCCTCAAATTCTTCTCATCAGTCGACGTAATTACATTGCCCATCCACGTAATATGAAAGGACATGTCAGTCGAAAAATCAGTAACGAAGAGAAGCTGTTGAGTGAATTAAAACAAATGGGTTTCCGAAATTCAATGCTTATCGATTTAGCTCAATTACCCATGTCTGAACAGATCAAATTAGTTATGAATACGGATATATTAATCGAGATGCATGGTGCTGCATTGACACTGAGTTTATTCCTTCCGAGTACTTCATGTTTTGTTGAATTATTCCCCGGCTATTGTTGTGGTTCTAATAAACACTTTTCAAAGTTGGCTGAACTACGTGGGATTCAATACATGGCTTATCATGGTCTCCCTGAGAATGATGTGTCGTCTGATTCGTCTTACATTCCTGTAGATCAATTCAAGTTGATTGTATTGAAAGCGAGGAGATTATGGAGAATGCGAATGGATAAGAGAACTGTGAATTGTTAAATTATCATGTGTTGATTTTTTCTATTTTCGATAAAGACTTGGTGTTCTTGTCTCTTTCTCTCTCCCTCTCTCACTCTTTCCCTCCTCATTTAACTTTCCATACTTCTAGTTGAACATCTCCTATTGCAACTGGTGATGAACTAATCATTTGTGAACAGTTGACGAGATCTGTTAACTATTTACATGAACATTGAATTGTTTTTGCAAATAGTTTGTGATATGTATCCACATGATATGTGTTTTGTTTTTGACAGTCTGTTATATTTTGCTATGTGTATATGGATCGATATTCCATTATAACTGACATTTTGCTTTTGTCTGTCCACTAACTAAATAAACATGTATGACCTTGTTATCACATGACATAACAACCAATCATGTTAAGACTGTCTATTATTAGATCATGTGTATTAGCCATTTTCATATATACTTTTGTATTAGACACTTGTACATTATTCTGGTTCACACACATTTCGTACATTTGCACCTTTTCACTCACGCACTAGTGTGACATTTATTTTCCTTGTCTGGAAAATATAAGTATCATCGTAAACCTAGTGGTCTTCTGATTTCCCTCGTTCGGCGTCAGGAATATTAACTACTCGACGAGTACATAACATAATTGGCGACGGGGAAAACTCTAATAACTCACTCAGCTGTAGTACTAAACAGTTTGTTAGCATCTAGCGATATCACCTTAGAAAATCATGCACACGTTTCATACACCCGAAAATTCAACAAACTTCAGGTTAACTCTAACAAGATCGTATCATTGGTGATTCGATTATTCCCCGTTTTCTGGTGAATTCATTCACTTCACTTAACAATCCTATTTATTATTATTTATATTATTTTTGTTATGGGTTCCGAGGGGAACATAATGCTTCGAATGCACATTTCCATTTTTTACCGTCCGCTTGAGTCCTACTTTGCTGTCTCGACGACTACCCTCAAGTTTTCATCTCTTCCTTATCACACTAGAATTAACGCTCCAATCGTCGCTTCTCGCACATTCTGTGAACCACTGAAGAAATATGGCGAATAATATTGAGATGAATGCGATACAAGTTGGGTATACTTTCAGGTGACATCACCCATCATGCCATCCCTCGAGTCACACTAGAATGAGATGAAAACTTGAGGGTAGTCGTCGAGACAGCAAAGTAGGACTCAAGCGGACGGTAAAAAATGGAAATGTGCATTCGAAGCATTATGTTCCCCTCGGAACCCATAACAAAAATAATATAAATAATAATAAATAGGATTGTTAAGTGAAGTGAATGAATTCACCAGAAAACGGGGAATAATCGAATCACCAATGATACGATCTTGTTAGAGTTAACCTGAAGTTTGTTGAATTTTCGGGTGTATGAAACGTGTGCATGATTTTCTAAGGTGATATCGCTAGATGCTAACAAACTGTTTAGTACTACAGCTGAGTGAGTTATTAGAGTTTTCCCCGTCGCCAATTATGTTATGTACTCGTCGAGTAGTTAATATTCCTGACGCCGAACGAGGGAAATCAGAAGACCACTAGGTTTACGATGATACTTATATTTTCCAGACAAGGAAAATAAATGTCACACTAGTGCGTGAGTGAAAAGGTGCAAATGTACGAAATGTGTGTGAACCAGAATAATGTACAAGTGTCTAATACAAAAGTATATATGAAAATGGCTAATACACATGATCTAATAATAGACAGTCTTAACATGATTGGTTGTTATGTCATGTGATAACAAGGTCATATATGTTTATTTAGTTAGTGGACAGACAAAAGCAAAATGTCAGTTATAATGGAATATCGATCCATATACACATAGCAAAATATAACAGACTGTCAAAAACAAAACACATATCATGTGGATACATATCACAAACTATTTGCAAAAACAATTCAATGTTCATGTAAATAGTTAACAGATCTCGTCAACTGTTCACAAATGATTAGTTCATCACCAGTTGCAATAGGAGATGTTCAACTAGAAGTATGGAAAGTTAAATGAGGAGGGAAAGAGTGAGAGAGGGAGAGAGAAAGAGACAAGAACACCAAGTCTTTATCGAAAATAGAAAAAATCAACACATGATAATTTAACAATTCACAGTTCTCTTATCCATTCGCATTCTCCATAATCTCCTCGCTTTCAATACAATCAACTTGAATTGATCTACAGGAATGTAAGACGAATCAGACGACACATCATTCTCAGGGAGACCATGATAAGCCATGTATTGAATCCCACGTAGTTCAGCCAACTTTGAAAAGTGTTTATTAGAACCACAACAATAGCCGGGGAATAATTCAACAAAACATGAAGTACTCGGAAGGAATAAACTCAGAGTCAATGCAGCACCATGCATCTCGATTAATATATCCGTATTCATAACTAATTTGATCTGTTCAGACATGGGTAATTGAGCTAAATCGATAAGCATTGAATTTCGGAAACCCATTTGTTTTAATTCACTCAACAGCTTCTCTTCGTTACTGATTTTTCGACTGACATGTCCTTTCATATTACGTGGATGGGCAATGTAATTACGTCGACTGATGAGAAGAATGTGAGGATGTGATGATTGGTTCAGGGGTGTTCTTTGACATCTGCTCACCTCGTCAGTTAACTGGTAGCTTTCAAGGATAAAGTTTCTGAATTCGTCGACAAATATTTCTCCAGTTGGATTCGACTCAACATACAAGGGACTTGCATAACCATATGGAACCAATACAAGTTTAGCGATGTGTAGATAACTATTCCGGCTGATGGGCACAGTTCGAATCAGAATGTGATCTGTTCGTCTCGTCGTCTTCTGCCTTGAACTTTTTCTGTAAACCCCTATTCTGGATACTGAATTATGGTACACTTGGTCTAAACTCATTGTATGATACAGATTGACGTATTCCACACGTGTGACTATGAAGACAACTTTCTCCTATGAAAGCAAACAAATAAGGGGGAATAGCGTTTGTTGAATATATTTCAGTAAGCATCAATTTTAACTGTGAATAAAATGCGTTTTATTTCAATATGAGTACAATACATTGAATTGAATTTTTGATTTTCCCGTCGGTCCAATCAATCGACGGGAAAATCAAAAATTCAATTCAATAATTTATATGACCCATTGCACAAGAAGTGGCTGTCGTGGCCCAAGTGGTCTAGTGGATAACGCTTTGGCGTTCGAAACTATGGGTACTGGGTTCGAGCCTCGGTGGGAACATCATCACTCACTGAGAAATGCAGGTACATCCAGCTGACGAGTCCCAAATAGGACGAAATGCGCTTTATCCTGGATTCCACTGCTAGCCACCATCCACCAATTGTATACTGAGTACAATACACATTACTATGCTTTGGGTGTCTTTTTGTAGGGACAGAAGACAAGGGCTAGGCAAGAGATAATCAACAGATATTCATAGATTTTTATGTAAATTATTATTCGTTATTTTTACCAGAGTAACAGCTTCTCCTGATTTGTTATTTTATCATCTTTTTGTTGGCGTTTCATAGACAGTCTGTTGATATACCTGAGAATCGTATCCGCCCACGCTGTGATTGACTGTTGAGTTAGTCTTTGTTCTTGTTCTTTTTCTCATGACGAAGATTTTGGACGTAAAGACTGACGGAAATTTCTGTCTGCCGATTTCGGCTAGCAGACAGCTTTCACCACATTTCAACTGACATCTGCGAGTTAGTCTTCTGATTCCAGATTATTCACCTGCACAATATATCTGTTGAATATAACTGTGAAATTTCCAACTGTACTGCAAAACTGGATGGTGGACGGTGGCTCAGTGGTTAGGACTCTCGCTGGCCATGCAGGTGGTCCAAGGTTCGATCCTCTGCCGACGCACACTTGATATCTATGGTCGGTCTGCAAAATTCGGGCTACCGATATCACATGCTGAAAATAATATACTTTTGCCGAAAATACAGTGTGGAATCAAGCTGTAATAAAAAAACCTATGATCACAGAGGTGGAAAGTGACTCCTTGATGACGACATCTTTTGTCTTTAATGATGTTTACATCAGCGGCTTTAAAACTACTTCATGCTAATCACTTTCATGATCTGAAACGAATATATCACTCACTCACTCACTGATTTTGTTTCTCTCCTTTGACTTCCGCCTGGAACACAGTTCTTCCAGACTGACCTATCAAGTCTTCCTAGTGATAATTTCGTTTTTATTAGGTCTGAGGGTGGGTTGCTAGCCAAACTGCCAATCTTCCTCCTCTCCATCGGGTTCGGAAGTGCTTAGACGTGGTTTAGCAGTGCATCCACCACAAATCGAAGCTGTATCAGGTGTGATATGGTTGGTTACTCTTGTTGTCGTCGCATAGCTCAGCGTTCTCCTTTCAACTCAACATTCTGCAACAGGGATTTTCGATTTCCCCGACTTTGGACAAATTTTCCTAAAAGCCAGTGTGGTCCACCAGATCTTCCGAAACATATTTAACAATGTCACACATCCTAGTCCCACCTCAAACGTCCATTATGTGAGTTACTCAAACAATACCACTCAATGCTGCAATATAACACTTCCGTCATCCTATTGGCATTCTTATGCTTGGCGTTTCGTCAAATCTTGTGCGCGTGTGCTGCACGGGTGCGAAGACTGACACTATGTTGAACACGAATTTGGTTCTAGCCAACAGACTTCCTTCCTAAACAGTGTATGCTCATTAAAAGGTAGTTGCTGTTTGCATTTCAAAACTCTTTAAGTCAAGATGGCAGTACTCCAATTTTACGATCAAAGAGGGCTGCTCCGTGTTCTTCACTAACACAATTTCAACCGTAATTCTGCTGTTTCTAACAGAAACATCTTCTCAAGCAAAGCACAGTTTCTCACACTTTGATGTACAAGTGGCCACAAGAGCTGCAGACTCTCCAGTAAACACTTGACGACTTCCGCGAAATCAGTCGGCCATGTGAAGAATGTACATAGTGAGGATCCATGGTAACCCTAGTTAATAAGTCTTTTCTAAATGAGCAGATGATATGTAGGCAAATAAACTATGGGTTATCCCTTGATCGTTCTACGATGGCTGAGGTCAGTCTAGAAATAAACCATCAGTGGTTATGCATCGTTTGATGTTCACTTTCTGGCACGCCTACACCACTCGTACTGGATACATCGTTTAGTGGAAATCTCTCATGCCGACTCCAACAGCCTTATATATATTTATAGAGTGGATATTGAGAAATACACGTTACAACTCAGGACTTTGTGTGTTCTAGCATAAGTAGTGTGATCTGAGGAAACTGGTACCTCCTATATGCAGTGATCGAGAAGCTTAGTGATATGCTGTAATAACCGCGAATATTATCGGCTCAGTAACCCTATTCTAGTCTCAGGGTTATTGCTAAAGATGAATGCGGTGACATCATAACAGATGAGTAGTTGTTGATCCTGAATCATTCCATTCCACATTTATCAGTCGTGGATCATAAAATATGCCAAAGTCTTCAAAACAACAGCACTCCGATAGTCATTGAGATTTCATCGTAATCCACGTGGTCAGATCCTG